TTTTGCTGCACTGTCGCTGTCATAAAAATTAAAACAAATTAAAACAGGAACCGCTGGACGTAATGGATACCGCCAATTCCAACAGCAACGACAACAGCAACAACAAGAAAGTCGCCTCCAAGTTCATTCCCAAGAAACTGACAGCTCCTCGACGGTGGAGGAAGCAACCTTCAAAAGAGAGTTTTGGATCGACAGCCAGCAGCGAGGAACATGCCCGCGGCCGGAGCCCACACACTCGTGATGATCCGCTAAGGAGCAGCTCCATTTCGACCACGCAATCCCATGACGGGGTTGACGAAGACCGGTACGAAAGCGACGATAGGTCCCATCCCGATGCCACAACAGCAACAGCCGCAGCAGCTGGTTCCGACCACGGCTCGTAAGTAGATATCTTTTTTTATTCTTTGATATTCCATGTAGTAGAAAACCAAGAAAACCCAGACCCCTTTGGACCAACCGTCGTGGGTTTCGCGTATGTTCTCCTTCTCCTCGTGGTCTCGGCTCCGACCACAAAAATAGCTCTTGGCACCTGAGAACAAGCGACCACGGTTCCCTTGGGACGGGATCCATCTTTTATGACCCTGACAAGTCCTGATTACGCCGGCTTCGTGTCCCTAGTAATAGTTCTGGCTACTTACTAGAGTAGAGCTCTGACTACCTAGCTTTCAACGCCCCCCCTCCCAATCCACCTCTCTTCATCCCCTATCCAGGCCTCCTTTTATTATCTAGATTTTATTTTTATTTTCATATGATATTCTTTCTGCCTCCCTACTTTGCTTTCTCCTTTTTTTGTAAGCCTCGTCCTGCGCTGAGCCCGGGCTGGCATCACACCTCGACTTCTAGTTGTACCTAGCGCTTCGCTTTCACCTCAGATCTGATACCGACGTCCTGCTAGGTCCAGTACATCTTTCTCTCGACCCTCGGTCCCCTCGACGCATCCTTCCCAGATCGGCTATTTGACACAATCCTCGCCCATTATCCAAGCCGAGCACCTGCCCGAGGCCCACAGTACGGACCAAGAAGCTCGAGAGAGCCTTTCCCGCCCAGCTACCAGCTCAGCTGCCAGTGGCCATTCGCACGAGCCGGCTCGTCAGCCTCCGAACAGCACCCCCGGTCTCCAGCTACCTCACGACTCGTCTTCGCGCAGGTCTAAATCGCCCGCCGGCAGGTTTAAAGAAGCGTTCAGGGGTAAGAGGAATGCTAGTCCTCTTCCTAGCCTAGGTAGCCAGACCGACGTTGTCGACCACGAGCCCACAGCTGCACCTCCCCAGAGGCCCACGACTGCTCCCTCCTCTCAGTCAAGCTCGGTTGTGACATCACAGCCCGATACAGACGACAGCCGTCTTTCTTTGAACGAGCGAACACCCCAGCAGAAGAGACCGCCGTCGATCGATACTTCTGCTCGCCCTCACACGCCACCCTCCTCCGAACCTGCAGCCCCCGTCATTGTCAATACTCCGCCCACGCCGACCGAGTCGCGTCTTTCGAGAGATAGGAGTTCTTCGTCCTCCTCGCTGTCGAACTCGAACCCGAATGTGGTCGTCTCCCCTTCGGGTCGCATGATATCACACCGACGAGTGCGATCTGGATCTGGAACAAGCATTGGCCCGAGCAAATTATCGAATATAACTTCGGCCCCACTATCACCAACTCCCGAAAACGCAGTACCCCCAACCCCCGGAAGTGGTTTTTTCTCCAGCGTGTTGTCCGCTGCTCAAAACGCTGCCAACACCCTAAGTTCTATCACACCTGCCAACGTCGTTTCTGGCGGAAGCAAGGTAAAGGGCCATAATATTCCCAGAGAGACGCCGCCAGGAGACGACGATAGGGTCGAAGTCGAGCCGTCCGCGGAGCAGTCGAAAGATTCTGACATGGGTACGAAGGAGCCCGCTGTTAAGACACTCGGTATGGGGGATTTGAGCTTGAGCCAGTTGGGCATTCAAGAGGGCGCCAGTGCCGGGCCAACGCCAACAACCTCAAAATTCCCCGAGGCTACCACTATGGGGTCTCGCAGTCGTTCGGGCTCAGCACCTACGGAACCTGTGGCCCTTCCTGCTAACGGCGATGGTCCTTCGGAGAATCTCTACGACACTGCAGTTACCACCCCACCAACCAGCGTGTATGAGGGTAAGACGGGCCTCCAGCGCAGTAGCAGCATAAGAAGCGCTATCTCGCGGAGGCGCAAGCGTGGCAGCACTGGCGGAACAGGAGGCACTGGAAACACTATTGGTGCCGCCATTGCCGCAGCTAATTCCTCGGTTGCTCACCCAACCGCTGCCGGGAGTACCCCTAAGCTCACAGGGTTTGCAGTGGCGAGTAAGAAACGCAATCGGGATTTCCATGCCCTGTTCAAGAGCGTGCCCGATGACGACTATCTTATCGAAGACTACAGCTGTGCGCTCCAGAGAGAAATTCTGGCGCACGGCAGGCTCTATGTTTCTGAAGGACATTTATGTTTCAGCAGTAATATTTTTGGATGGGTGACGACGCTGGTGATGAGTTTCGACGAGATTGTGTCGGTCGAGAAGAGAAGCACGGCACTGGTGTTTAAAAACGGGCTCATGATCACAACTCTGCATGCTAAGCACGTTTTTGCTAGCTTCACGAGCCGAGACTCTACTTACGACCTCATTGTGAATATCTGGAAGCTTGGACACCCTTCTTTGCGGAGCTCGCTCAATGGTGTATCCCTGGACGAGACTGGAGGCGATAAAACCGAGAAAGTAGAGGATGGCGAAGTTGTCGTGGCAAGCCAGAGCCTCTCGGGCTCCGATATCGACGATAGCGAGGACGGAGATGACATATATGACGAGGACCAAGAGGATGGCGATATGCCCGATGCGACGCATCTGACGGATTCTAGCCCAGCCGAGACTGATGGCGAGAAAGCTGTGACGAGAAAAGTGTCTGGAGCGGTCAATGCCAACGGCACTGCCGAGAAGACAGATGCTGCACCCGCACCCGGCGGTGCGGCCGACTTTCCCGGACCAGCAACCCATGCTCCGACGGACTGCGGCGATGCTGATACTCACTATGAAGTAGTGGTTGGAGATGACATCATCCCCGCTCCTCTAGGCAAAGTCTACAATTTGATGTTTGGGCCAGCTTCCGTGGCGTACATGGGGAAATGGTTGACTGTCGAGCAGAAGTGCCTCGACCTGCAGATGGAGGACAAGAAGGGACTATCGCTGGACAACAAGACTCGAGGATACACATATATCAAGCCTCTCAATGCTTCGATAGGACCGAAGCAGACGAAGTGCATTGTGAATGAGACTATCGAGAATGTGGACCTTGAGAAGAGCGTCAATGTGCAAGTATCTACGCAGAATCCGGATGTGCCAAGCGGCAATGTGTTTAGCGTGAAAACCAAATACTGTCTGTCCTGGGCAGAGAACAACGCTACTCATGTAACGGTCAATTGTACTACGGAATGGACCGGCAAGAGTTGGATCAAGGGTGAGCCTCCCATGGACAGCTACTCTTCGCAATTGCCCTAATGCTAATGTTTCCTATAGGACCTATCGAAAAGGGTGTCAAGGATGGCCAGACACAGTATTGTAAGGACCTTTTCGCCAGCCTCAAGGCATCGGTGTCCTCCCGGCCTCGCTCTGCAACGCTCAACGGCGGAGCCACAAAGGGCAAGAAGAAGAAGGGCAAGGGCAAAATGCACATGGCGTCCAAGGAGAGCCTCGGTAGTCCGGCAGTGGCCGCAGCCTCCAAGGCCCAAGATTGGGGTCCCCTCGAGCCACTGCATGGAATCCTGGGCCCGGTGGTCGATATCATTAAACCTATCCTCACGGGTAATGTCGTGTATGGACTTCTCGTTGGATTGCTAGTTGCGACGTGGTTCAATTTCGGTTCCCACCGCCAGCCTCGTAGCGTGGGTTATGGACGCGACCTGGGCTTTGTAGGCTACCCAGACCGCGCCGTTGCCTACGAGGAGATATGGAGACGGGAGGAGACCGAATTGTGGGATTGGCTAGAAGAACGTGTAGGCATGCAGCGTATGAATGAAGGCGCTATGCCCATCCGTAAACGGGCGATGGAACCGCGGACAATGGAGGATAAGCTGCGCGAAGAGCGGATGAACGAACGAGAGGTTGAAGAAGCGATCAGGGTTACGGAAGAGAAGCTCCAAGTTTTAAGATCGGTTATGAGCCGTAAGATAAATTCCAAGTCTACCGCTCAGGGCAAAGAATCAGTTAAGATGCCTGCTGCTGAGACGTAGCAAGCAGAGGAGCTGGGGACGAGGAGACTCGAAGAGGAGGAAACAAAACAAGAATCTGTGGAATACACCTAAACAAGCTCACACACACACACGCCACCATGACAGGCCGACCTATAATCACCTACGATACCAACCCGACCTATTTTTTACTCGTACCTTGCACCAACCTAACTTCTCAGAACGACGAAGCACCTCAGTTCTTTTATTTTGCCTTTAGCGTATGTACTAAACACACACCCGCACACATCTTGGTCGTGGTACTGTTGTTCTTGGGTTCAAGTTCATCAAATATTCATACTTTCATTTTTTGAAAAGAATTTCTTTCTTGGCCTTGAGGTTTTTTTTTTCTTCGGGTTGGGGTTTTTCTTCACATTTTTTGTTTTGCATTAGCCAAACTGTAGATACCTACACGTGTATAGTATTGATCTGGCGAAATCCGGTAAAGGAGACAACCACATTATCAGTTAGACAAAAAAAATCTTAAAGAAAAACGGCCAATATGATTTATTTGAATTTTTATTTCTTCCTGAATGATATATAACATGAATAGGTAGGTTTGGTTTTTTGTTCAATTAAAGGGAGTGATCTATACGGAATGAGAATCGATAAAGTATGTATAAAACATTGTCGAGATAACAAAAAGAATGAATGATTACATTGAACAGTAAAAATGAATTAACTCGAAACCGAGAATCGATTAAATGGACACAAAACTAAAGGAAGCAAAGGGGAAAAAAAAAGGGCGAGAAGATCAAAAAAAAAATTTAAGCACGCAGCACGGGACTCGAACCCGCAACCCCAGTCTTTCACTATATAACCAAAGGGAAGCAGTTTACTCCCTATTACAGGAAAGTTTTTTCTCCAGTGGCAAATAGGAGGACTATGCGCTATCCATTGCGCCAACTGCGCGGCCTTTTTTGTCTTTTCTTTGTCAGAACATGATTTCCGAGACGATCTTTTTTGGTTCTTATGGGGGTACTTATGCCTAGGTAGTTCCCCGGTTTTGGGGGACCCTTTGAAGAGAATGCGGGTGTTTGATTGGTTGGTTGGGAGGTAAAGGTTGGGGTGGGGTGGGGTGAGAGGGGGGGGTACTTGCCTAACGGCTTAGGTAGGTGGGTGGGTAGATGGGTAGGGAGGGAGAGGGAGGGAAGGCGTTGCTTATTGGTGGGAAAGAAGGAAAGAGAGAAGGAGCCTTACTTAAGGTTTGGAGAGGATGGGGGGGGGGGGGGGGGGGGGGGTATGCACCAGATGTACTATGTCTGGTAGAGGGGAGGGAGGTACACACACACACACACACACACCTTGATGCAAAGCTGTGTTTGTAAGTATATATATCAATGTAGGTATGTGCCTAGGTATTAGACAGTAAAGGTGTTGTACATGGAAATGCAATGGGGGAAAACGGGGAGGGTAAAATTGAATGATGAAGCGGGTTTATATGATAGATATGTAGGGATAAATAGGTATGTACCTAGGTACACATTGGAAAACGAGGCAGTGGATTGAGTGTTTGGCTGGCAAAATAAGATCTGTCGCGTTTACGGATGTCAATAGCAGTAAGTAATAGGTATCACTCAGTATACCTGGTAGGGTAGATATCTACATAGATGAGGGAGACATTGTTGACTGATGGGTGTGCATTGGTCTACTTGTGTAAGTACTTATGTATTCTCTGTCTCTCTCTTTTTTATTTATCTACCTACCTACCTACTTAGGTTCTACAACTCTCGTGTAATAGCCAGCTGGACGTCTGGTGTACTTAGACTTGCCATAGGTATTCTAACTGAGTTACCTAACCCAACACCCGGGCAGATCCATTTCACCCTGATTTCGTTTGTGGCACTAGGTAGGTAAGTACCTGACCTCCCATTAAAGTTGTTCTAGTTCTTACCTCTGGGCAGATGGGAGAACAACTGGAACGAGCGCCAACGTATGTGCATAAGCCACAGCTTCATCCAACTTCACGCTACTGCGCCACATCAAAATCCCATTAACGCGGTTGCACGACTAAAACGCGTCTCCCCAAACCCCGCTGCCGTTGGCTCTCGAGTTCAAGTACACCCGAAAAAGTCTGCGAACAGAAAAGAAATTTACAAAGATATCCTACTTTATACTTTACAGAGATTATATCCGCAAAAAGAAACAACTGGATCTACGAAAAAAAGAAAAAACCTACCATCCCCGTCCACTCGCCACCATGGACGACCGGGACTCGCTCCCCGTGCACTACAACGACGGGAACCGGGCGTTCCTGCAGGCGCTCCTGGCCCGGGGCACGATGACGTTTAAGGAGGCGCAGCCGGTGCTGGCGGCGATCTTCAGCGCGCAGGAGGGGGGGGGGAGACGGGGGCGGGGGCCGCGGACGGAGGCTCGGGAGGTGACGCAGGCGGACTTCGAGTCGTACGTGTCGGCGGCGTCGGCGGCGCTGTCGGCGTTCGACCTGGAGGTGCGCAGCGGGCGGCACCAGGGGACGGGGCGGCGGGTGTACGCGGTGGTCAACACGACGTCGGACGCGCTGACGCAGATGGCCACGCTGCACAACGCCGAGGAGATCGCCTTCGTCAAGCGCGTCATCGACGCCATGTTCGACAAGTACAACACCCCCCGCATGGAGGTCATGTGCCTCGACGAGATGCAGGCCAACAAGCTGCGTCGCGCGCCCACCACCCCGCACCCGTTGAGACCTGAAGACGACGACGACGGGGATGAGACGATGGCGCAGGCTGAAGATAGGGATACCCAAACCCAGGCCCAGGCGCTCCGCGGCCTCAAGTCTAGCGAGGCCGAGGCGGTCATGCGCAGCATGGTGGAGGAGGGCTGGTTCGAGCGCAGCCGCGAGGGGGGCCTGTACGGGCTCAGCGCGCGGGCGCTGCTGGAGCTGCGGTCGTGGCTGGTCGAGTCGTACAACGACCCGGACGCCGAGCCGGGCGAGTGGCAGCGCGTCAAGTTCTGCGAGGCCTGCCGCGAGATCGTGACGGTGGGGCAGCGCTGCGCGGACCGCGACTGCGTCGCCCGCTTGCACGATATCTGCGAGGATGCGTTCTGGCGCACCCGCGGGGGGCGCGGCGGCGGAGGAGACGATAGTAATGGTAGGCAGCGCGCGTGCCCTCGCTGCGGACGCGCGTGGGATGGCAGACACTTTGTTGGAGAGAGGGCGGTCACGGAGACGGAGGCGTATCGGAGGGGGAGACGGAGGAGCGGGAAGGGTGGACGAAGCAGTAATCTCGTGGAGCAGATTGTGAATGAGGGGGAGGAAGAAGAGGAGGAGGAAGAGGAGGTGGGGGATGGGGATGAGGATGAGGATGATGAGGAATGAGGAATGAGGCGGTTTCTATATACAGACGATATGGCATGGCATGGCATGGGCAGGACTGGTAGACAGGTGGTGTCTAGTTACGAGAGAAAGAAAAAGGGGGAGATTCACACACTAGGTTGGGCCTTATACCTCGTGATTTGAGGCACTTGGGATTCATTGTACTACTAACTCACCTACTTACCTCTCTCTCTCTCTATCTTGGTAATGGCTTGCTTTGCTCTGCTGTTACTTAGTTGGTTACGCAACTGAGATACTACGAGTATATAAAAGATAAAAAAAAGGAAAAGGGCCTGTCATTTCTTCTCTGCGACATGGTTGGTGATGTACCTACCTACCTACCTAAATCAGGTGGTTTAAAAAAAGGGGGGGCATAAGGGGAACAAGGAAAATGCAATAGACAATAGCACATACCTGTGTATTTAGGCGGCACATTGGCTTAATACCTACCGACTTACTTATTGTCTATAGATTCCTTTTCTATACCTACATCAATACTAAGTATTTAGGTACTTTGTAAACCCGAAGAGTTGCCAGGCTAGGGGCTCCCAGGATACTGGTAGTGTAAAGCGGTTTACCATAAATTAGCTCGCAAGTGCCCGTTGTATGGCAATTAGGTTAGTAAGTATGCATCATTCTTACAACCTCCACAATATACTAGTAGTAAGTATCCATCGCTTTTCTCTTCCTACCGAATTAATACCTAGTACATACCTAATGTACATACTACTTATGTACCTAGGCTGAGTGGTAGGATCTACCTACTAATGTATCCATGGATGGTTAACTTAGTACCAGACTTACATATGCAGGTATGTGGCGATCATGGGGAACTGAAAGAATCGAGTTCAGGCACTGGTGGGGCACATAAAGTTTGATCTGCGGCGAATAAGGTTGGACTAGATCTTTATCCCAGTTTCACAGACTTCACGGGAAGGCAGGCTTTGCCACACTACCTACATACCTACGTAACAATCACCTACCTATTGGGAGGTTTATGTAGGTAAGTATTTGGAGGGAGGTACCACGGTGCCCGTAGGTACATAGGTAGACCTTCATCTCTGTGGCTGTGCTGCGCATGTTATACCTACATCAATACGGAGGGCACCTGCATACATACTACTAGTACATTACCTAGGTCGTAGGTAGTGACGTAGCATCGATTAGGTATTCCAACTCCCAGCTACCTAGAGGTCTAAGAGGTCCCCTAAATGTGGGGACCTTCCATTGCAAAGCACACCTCGCACCTGCATGCATTGGAAGGCCTCCTACCAGTCATCGGCATTTGGAGCTCCCAACATAAAACAGGTTTAAGCGGTAGGTGTATTGGTGGCAGGTCCAGTCCATTCCGGTTCTCCAATTCAGCAGGCGCTGGAAATTCTTACCTTACTACCTAGTACCTACCATTTTTAATAAGAATTAAAACGAGAGGCAGCCCCTCTTCCCATATTTTAACCTCCTTTGTTTCCTCCTTCTTACATACATACCAATCCACCCCCTACTCCTTTTCCTCCTCCTCCTCCTCCTCCTCCGTTCCTCATCACATCCGCTCAAGAACACAGGTTACTGAAATAGTCCTGTACCTGCAATCAACCTCGACTAAACTAATCGTGCATCTTCCACCTCCGCAAAGATGCTCGAGTACTTTACCTACAAGAAGGTGAAGAAGCACCGGGACCAAAAGGCCGAGAAGGAGCAGCTGGCGAAAGACAAAGCAGAAACTCCGCCTCTGCCCAAGCGCCCCGAAGCCTTCAGCGAAGGCGCCCCTGTCCTCGACCGTGAGGATGAGAAGTTCCTCGAGAGTCTGACACAACTAGGTGCTAGAGAAGACGACGATGAGGAGACGCCGCCTCCCTTGCCACCTCGCATTAAGACGCCCATCTTCGACTTGGACAGCGACAGCTCCAGCACCGCCAGCAAGGAACAGGAAAAGGAAAAGGAAAAAGGGAAGGGGAAAGAACATGACAAGGTGAAGGAGAAAGAGAAAAGCAAAGACAAGCGAACCAGCATCGATGGCAAGCCACCCAACCGTTTCTCCTTCGTCACGAACATCTCCCGCAGCATCTCTCTGAAGCGCAAACCCGTCGCCGCTAAGCACCCGGGCCTCGCCGTAGAGCCGTCCTCAGTTGTGGTGCCCGAGTCGGAGCTGCGACGCGAGGAGAGCGACATGGCCAAAGTGCTCGACGACCTGGACCTGTCGGCGCGCAACAACCGGGCCTTCTCGCTGTCGAAGGAGTCGGCCGAGATGTCGCGGCGCTTCACGCAGGTGCTCCGCGACCTTGCCAACGGCGTGCCGACAGCGTACGATGACCTGATCAGCCTGCTCGACGACCGCGATGGCATGCTCGCCCGCAACTACGAGAAGCTCCCCAAGTCGCTCAAGAAGCTCGTCGCCCAGCTGCCCGAGAAGCTCACCGGCTCCCTCGGCCCCGAGATCCTCGCCGCCGCCGCGGAAGCGCAAGGTCTCTCCACAGCGGCCGACGGGAAAGACGGCGGCGACAGCGGGCTCAAGGGCGCGGCGAAGCGCCTCCTCACGCCCAAGAATCTCCGCGACCTGGTCACCAAGCCCGGCGCCCTCGCCAGCGTGCTCAAGGGC